TTTTTGAAGTTTTCTTTTACACCATGTGGAAACTTTGCATCAGTCTAAACCCATCCTTAAAAGGCAGTTTAAAAAATTGCTTTAAGTACATCAGTCTATTCTGATCATTGATTCTCTTAGAAAAAAAAAATTTAATATTAAATGAATACATGTACAACATAATTTGATTGCCCATGTACCTACATTTCACAATCTTTTACCCTGCCAAACATGTTAAGAAAGTCATAATATCATGAACATTGTTAACTATACACTGTAGAAGTGGCATGTATACATTACTAGCCATCCAAGCATACCTTGTATGCTCTTGTGACAGTCATATGAAGTTTTCCTAAGGCTTCCATGTAATCATCCTAAAAGTTACATGTATAACATACACAAAAATAATTTGTTAATCAGAGATAAGAAATTCTAAAAAGAAAAAAAAAAAAAACAGAAAACAGCAGACTTGCATGATGGACACATTTCACACATTTCAATACTAGAAATTTATAAGAATTATAACGTCACATGTTTAAATGCACCCTATTGAAGTGATTACATGAAGATAATTATTTCTATCTTTAAGTTTATACTTAATTTAGTTCAAATTATAATATTTAGTTTTGTATATACTCACTTTATAAATAAAGTTCATGGACTATTATTGTATTGTATTGAAACAATAACATAATTTGTACATAACACTTGCTGTCATTGTCAATGTACTATACACTGTACATTTACAGCATACCTGAGCATCTATTACGAAGACCAGAGCTCCACAGTGACCAAATAACACTTCCGAGTCAAATGCTGGATCAAAAAAGTCTATTTGTCCAGGAAAGTCCCAAATCTACCAAAAAGAGAGAATATGATTATAAAAAATAAGCACAGTTGAAGTACATCATTTACATGGCCTCATGTATGCTTACAGTGTGGATCCAACTAGATGTAATGTAGTGGGTTCATTTTCCTACAACTACAGGGTAACACTTCAGGTCAGTTCTCTGAAGGCACTGAAGATATCAGGGATCCATATTGTTTTTTTTTCCTCCAAGTCGTCAGCTGGGCAAGTATGCTGGATGGCATACTTGTCCTGGCAAAATTTCACTTGCCCGTTTAATGGGAACAGAACAGCATGTACTGTAAATTGAAAGGTTACTTTTTTTATTATAATTTTCTACGTGACCAATCTCCAAGTGCATCATGTCTGTAGTTGTGGCTGTCAGCGGATACAGAAAATCCAGATGTGCAAATGGAAACCAAAGCCTCTTCAACTGCCATGAAGGCTTGTTTTTCCAAAGTGATAACATTACTAAATGACATATCCTGATCAAAACAGGTGATGTGATCATGCCATGTGTTTTCACAGATGCACATGCAGTACAGAGCATCAGTAGTTGGCAAAATGAAAACTGAGCCTGCAATGATTTCATTCCTGGAGAATACCACATCATCCCCAATGGCCAATCAAAATTATGATTTTATTGCAGAATAAAGCTGCAAATCTTTCTGTTTTCTGTAAGTTCCAAATGGATGACAAGTCGTCACAATGCAGGAAAGTCTTTAAGAAAATTTAAAATATGTTTTTCTTTCTTGTTTTCTCTGGTAGAGTCAAACTAAATTCGTCCAGCGGATGAGTTTTCGTATTGATTTGGTCATCCCTACGATATTTTAGTCCTCACAGATGACCGGATGACTGTGACTATGGATCCCAGAGATATATTAATTTACAGTATGTAAAGCAAAAATCTCACCTGGAACTGTACAAATGAGCTATTTGATATATCTTTCGGGCAAGTTAAGGGTATCATATAACGTTTGTATTAAATGTTCTTGTACAATGCAAGTTACTAGTACAAGTACATGCAATACATGCTTTATTAAATTAATATTAATGAAGCTTACATTAAATGGTTGTCAAATCTAGCCAGATGCTGGCAAAAATCATTATTGACTTTCAGATATTGGCCAGCTACTCTGCTCAGGGATAGCCATTTTATAGAAAAAGAGGACAAATTCAGCTTCATAAACAATTACTTAAAGACTTTGTGACAACCCAAGCCTTGCACTGACATTCAGAATTTGTCCTCTTTAACAGAAACTTCACTAAACATATAAAAATCATTAATGGAGTGTGCATGTACTTCAAACAATTTCAGATATATAGTAGAGTAGAGCTGGCTTAAGGTGGAAGAATGAAAATAAACTCAAAGACTATCAAAGTCTATGTAGACTTAGTCATGATTTAGATCTATGTACTCAAAGGGTTTTATGTACATGAATACTTTAACATTCGAAATGTGATGATGCCAGACCAGTGTTTCATATGTAAAAGGATACCATCTTTCACTATTTTATTTGTACTTTCCAAGAAGAGCGTTTCATTTGGGGACATCTTGTGGAATACCACTTTCTGAATTGAAGATTTTCCACTCCTAAAGAGATTACACAATATTTCTGAAAATGTATGGCCATGCATGACAGTGCCTCTCTCCACCCAGGGGTATAAATGGGAATCGGCAAATTTAATGCTGGGGGATAGCCCTGCAAAATTGGAGTAGCATCCCATCTACATGTAGGGAGAAGTAAAATACTCCTAGTTGCTTCATGCTACGGATACCGGAGATAAGCTCCGGCCTGATGAGCCACTTGGCTCGTATACAGAATTTACCTTTACCTTTACATTATATGAAAAACAATTCCCCATGTACATGTGGATTGAGCACAAAACCCCACGCACTGTCCCAAGAAAAGTACTTCATAGTACAAGTATGAATAAAGTTACGTCATGTTGATTCAAGTAATCATACAAGATGACATTACAATTGAAAGGTGAAAAGGTATTTAAGAACATTTCAAGATCATCCTCAAATGGAGTCTACAGCTTAACACTGTAGACACTGTTAAAAGTATTACCGTACATTTAACAATTAAGAAATAGAAAACACCTACCACATTTCTATCGAGTTATAGAAACACGGGTGGAAGTTTGGGAGAACAAGAAATGCTGTGGGAACACGAGCCCCAGGCGAGTGTTTCCACAGCTTTTTCGAATTCTCCCAAACTTCCACGAGTGTTTCTATAACTCGATAGAAACACGGGGAACATGTTTTCTATTTCTTTTAGAAAACATAGCGACAGAAAAAAGGGAAACAGTTTGTTTACTTTAATAATCAAAATGTAAATTCTCTTTGCTTGCGCTATCATTAGGTCAACAGCTCGTGCTAGTTCTGTGTTTCTATGGAGTTACACAAACACGATTTTCAACCAATCAGTGCACTTATTTTCTTTGGGCTGTTTTCTAATTACACATATAAATTATAAACAGATTTTATGGTTACAACCAATATCTTCGTAGTGAGTTTCAAAATCATGCGTAAAGGTGCGCAAGCTGTACATGTGTATTAATATACTAGAGAACCCATATCTCTGTTTGAAATGAACAGACCTTCTGAGGCCCAACAATAGAATCCTGGGCTTATTATCACTGCTGGCCAGTTCATCTTGATCCTCAGGACCATAGCTAAACACAAGAAAATCATGCAGTTGTCAGCAGATAGATTAGTAGTGACATCATTCTAAAAATTGTACGACTTATTTCCTTATCAGCTTGTTAACATGTGCATGAGTAAACCCTGAAGGATACTAATCTCACTTAAGAATGTTCCATTAGCAATTTATTTTCCTGTGTCTAATATTATTTGCACGTCTTGAGAATTATTTACACGTGCAGGTATATCAAGATAACAAAATAATAATGAAAAATAATGGACATCAATTTATCCATTTTACCCTTTATAAAGAACATTATGGTTTAACTCTGGATCATTCAAGCTGACACGATATGAGACTTGTGAAAGACCGACCGTACTTAGAACGATTCGTTTTCTCTCTTGGACATGTACGTTGCACAAGACTGGCCGTTCGCTGTAATTTTAATCAGCTTCTTACGTATTTAATGGGAAAAGGACAAGCCTCAAAAGCAAGTCCTCAAAAGCAACTCTCGAAAAATATCCGCAGCAAGCTTGATTGGTATTTAGAACCAATTTTATATAGCAGCTTATCAAATAAGGTTGTATCTCCAAGAATTCATGTCCAGGTACCGGTCCACGTAGGCTAGTATAAGAGGCAACAGGATATTTTCTTTATAACTACAAAAACAACTGATTCCTTGAATGGACTGCAGGAATACTGAACACCACAGAGCGATTGGCAAACTGTGATATGACGAAAACTTACCCAAAATCTTTCGGAAAGGACCCCACTACACTATAGCTTCCAAAGTTCTCGTCATCTTCGAAGGACTATTTGCCGCGAATAAAAGCAAAACAAGAGAACAGCATTAATCTCAAGTACCCCACAGCTATCAGCCGCAGAAATTGGTTCAAAAGGAATTCACATAAGCTTGTATACCGTCATGTTCGGGGAAACCTTCTCTGAACGACACTTTTCAGTACGTTTTCCTC